TACTTTCAATGAAGTGAAGTTTAATATAACAAAGCTAAGTGAAAAATATGTTTTTTCCAATAAAATTTATTAAAAATGAAAAAAATAATAATTTCAGTTCTAAAAAAGTAAAATTACTAAATTAAAAATAAATGAATCAACAACTTCAAAAATTATTAATGTATATGAAAGATACTGCAGCTTCGTTTGTAAGTTAGGAAGTATTTTTGAAATAATACTTGTTTGTAATTGGCGTAAAAAAATGGCGGAATCACGTGACTTAAGTCCCAATCGCCATTTTCTAGATATCGACCACTGCTAACTAAAAAGTAATAAATTAAATCAGAAAATGACAAATTTAAAAAAAATCAGAACAATGGTTACTCTAAGAAAATTCAATTTTAAAACGAATTCCCTCTTAACATGACAAAATTTCACTGTAAATATAAATATATGTGATATTTATGCTTACAGTAATTTTCATTACTTTAAAATATTAAAAAATTTCAGTACAAAATTAAACTTTAAATAGAAAGTAAATTATAGAAAAATATCAGAAAGTTGTATTTAGCAGAAAAATAAGATAAAAAATTATAGTACCTGGGAACTCACTCATCCACTGAGCAGCTTCTTGATTCGTGACTCCAATCAAAATAGGCATTCGAGAATTGTGAATCAAAACATTCTCAGGATCACCAGGTAAAATACTCGCCTCAATGCGAAATGGGTCACTTACTGGTGTGAAATAAGTTGAGCCCAAAATAAAATTTCCATTACCCTAAAATAATAAAAATTTTTGCATAGTAAAATTAATAAATTAATAGACAAATTTTTAAATTATTTTAATAATACACTAAAAGTAATACTTACTGTTATGGTTGAGGTTAATTTTACAATTTGCCGCCAACCGTTTTGTAATTTTATAATTGGAACATTTTTTAAACATTCTACTGTATGAGCCATTCCTAATGTTTGATTATAGCTACAACCACAGTAATCTATCAACTGAGCAGAGTAATCCTCCGTTGAAACTGATTGTACTGCCCACGGAGCTAAAACGCTACCACTGCGAAGAATAACGCCATTGAACAAACCTTAAATCTTATCAAAATTTACTTCAAATACAATAAAATGAATATTCGATTTCTTCCAAAGTAATATTTGATTATTAATATTAATTCATTAAGTATGAATGAATTAATATTAATAATCAAATAGATAGTAATGTATGTAGTTTTGAATGAAAAAATTGCCAAATTTGTAATGGAATAGATATATTATTTATATCTGAGCAAATACTTTACAGCAAATTTCAAACGCATGTTTCACGTATCTACCACGTAAGTTTTTTGATTGTCAAGACATTTTTGTCAGAGTTATATGCAGTATTAAGGAATAAAAAGCCTAAAAAATAAAAATGTACCTTTGGTTTTAGGTGAAATAGCTAAAATACTTGCACAAGCGGCGCCAGCACCCATACCTCCAACAATGATATTATTTGGATCAGCATCAAAATTTCGGGCATTAGCTCGAATCCATTCAATAGCTTTGATTTGATCATCTAATCCATAATTTCCATGTAAATCTCGATGACTTGCAGTAAGGAATCCTTGAAAATGATAAATCAAATATTAACTATAATATACAACTTTTTGTCTCTGTTATACATATATTTTCTCTTTAATTTACTTAATTGTAGATTAATGTATTAATAAATAAAGATTTAGATTAATATGAAAAAATATGTCTATATGAAAGCTAACATTTTTGATTAACTTTTTTGATAAAGTTTGAATCACATATCAAAACTCAGGAGTTATTGACTATTTTTTATATTCTTTTAAATAAATTTAAATCAAATTTATGAAAAATGTGATAACTTGAGTGTCAACACATTAAGCTTAATTAGTAAATTTTGAAGTTATTTTTTCCATGCAAAAACTTAATTTTTTCAGTTTTTTTTCAAGCTAGTTTACAAACTTAAATTTGAAAATCTGATAATTAGCAGTAAATAGTCTAATTATTTTAGACTAACCATTTACTTTGAATTAACGTGTTAATCCAAAATCAAAGCAAAAGTATATTCAAAGATTTGAATTTTTGTAAAATTGTAATAAAAATTACCAAGTGGACCAAGACGATAATTTATCGATATTAATACAATATCATTTGAAGCAAAATTTTTCACCATTGCTTCAATAGGTATTATGTTTGCACTGCCAGTCTAAAAAATCTGATTCTATCTTAAAGTCAGAAACTAATTTTAGCTAATCTATTCTATATCTTCTGAAATTTAATACAAATCCAGTTATTGATAAATATTTATGATAAATTTCCCTCTTCAAATGAACAGGTAAGTAGGCTAAAAAGTCTTACTTGAAATGAGCCACCATGCAACCATATTAGGATTGGATACCGCCTGCCAGTTTTCTGAAAAAACAAACGATAAAAAGCTTTTTCTTGATTTGATGGTTATCTAATTGAAATAAATTAGCATATTTCAAAGTGAATACAAAAATTAATATTTAATAATTTTACATCACTCATAATAAGCTAATAAACTGTATAGAAGTTAATTATGAAAAGAATAATAAAGCAAAGTCTTTACAAATACAAAAAATTCAGAAAATGTTTAAAACTGAAATGAAAAAATTGCAGCTCAAATTATTGTAAGTTTATTTTGTAGTATTGGAATGTGATATAGCAATATTATTTTACATTATTTTATAAATTGATGATTATTCAGGTTAGTTTTTTATTAAATCCTACTTGTACTTTTAGTTTTCTGTTTTTTAATAAAACTAAAATTATAACTTGTAAAATTAAGAACTATTATAGAAGAAACTGTTAAATAAGCAGTGGAAAAAAGTCAAATTAAAGCACAAAAAATTTTTATAATTAAAAAATTAACAAGTAAACATAAAGTAGTCTTCGTTATTTGTTAGTGATCCTTGAAAATTTTGCATAATTAAGCAGTGGTAGTCAAAAATTTTTTAGAATTTACAAATTAAAGCTAAATTTACAAGTTTAAAAGTACCATATCATTGTGAGGTAATACAATAGTGGCATATAAGCAGTCTTCAGTACCACTAAAATCGTCACCAAACTGTACACATTGAATCATATGGTTTCTACCACAATCTCGAGTACCATTCCAACTTTTCAACTCTTTCGTTTTCTGCAAGTTGCTATCTACAAATTCAAAGTGAAGAAGGTACAGCATCATTTTATTTTCTAATTTACATACAATAAGACTGTATTGTGTGAAATACAGTATAATGTTTACAAAACTGACCAAATATATTAAAATAAAATTAATGGAATGGAAGAATGTTTTTGTTAAAATACATATTGAAAAAATAATTTTATAAAATTTGAAGCAACTAAATATAATTTCTGTTTCTTTACTGAGAGAATCTATTTTTCTGCATAATTTATAAGTACAAAATTATTTTTTACTTGTATGCAATTTATAGCATTTTTGTCTGTATGCACAATAAATCAGCAAAAGTAAAAATGTGATTAATTTATCAAATCTAACTGAAATTATTAATTTAATATTTATTTTGGTAGGAAAATCGTATTATAATGATGTCAAACTTTATATGAAAGATGAACTGAACTGCTAGAGATTATGTTCGAATTAAAATGTTTTATCATGGCCAGAAGACATCAGATTAATTAGAAAATTATCAAATTTATCAAAAAGTTATCAAATCAGTAATGGAGACTCACATTAATTAGTAATACTTTGCTGTGAATGATGATAATTTATTAACGTAAAACGATATCATCTACTGTTACTCAAACAACAATTCTTGAATTTCCGTGAAATTTGATTCTTGAATCCCAACATGAAATTAATTTTAAAAAATTCTCACAATTTCAGAAATAATATTTCAAGGGATTACTTCAAAACGTAATAGCCCGGTTGGTGGCTCAGCATAGGGTACAGCTTCATAAACTTCTGCAAGTGTACCATCTGATTCCATGAAATAGCCTTGAATACTTCCATGAGTCGTTTGACGTAATGGTCGAACATCATTCGGTACTACTTCAAAATTAGCACACTTATTTTATTTTGAAGCACAAAAATAAGTGGAGCAGTTTTTTTTCTTTTTAATACTTACAAATTTTAATTGCATGTGTAATTTCTTTTGCAGCTCAAGTTTGAATTCACAAGTGAAATTTACTTTTTAATTAGATTGAAAAAAATTTTACAGAATATCCTTGAATAATGTTTTTAACAGATTCTATTAATTTTTGCTGACTTACCTCCTTCAGAATCAAACATTTTTGTAAATGCGCTGGTCATTATTATGCGAATATTTCCCAAAGCCATATAGAATAATTGAAGTAATAAATTATATCTAATATACATAGTCAAATAATCTAATCTGAAATTAACACTTAGTATAAATAATGCTTTGAAACTAATTAATTGTAATATACATTAGGTGAAAAGAGCAAACTTAATTAATTATCAGCTTATCCCTCATTAATCGCTTTTTAAAATTTATAAACTTAAATTAAATTTGAATATAATTTTTCTTGATTATAAAACTCTAAAAAAAACCTTTTTT